GCTCTGCTGTAGTCCAATAGGTCGCCGTTCGGACAGTACTCTGTCGCCAAGAGCAGGTACGATACCGTAAACTTGGCCTCGTAGATCTGGACGAGGTTGGGGTGGCGCACGTGGGCAGCAATCTCAATCTCGCGCCGAGCGCTTGCAGGGTCGCTGGTCGCAAGCGGCAAGGCCTTGAGCGCAACGATGTGGTCGGTGGCGACGTGGCGGGCGAGATAGACCTGGCCGTAGCCGCCCGCCCCAAGCAGCTTGAGAGCCTCATAGGCAGTCCAAGGCGATGTCCATGTCATGCTCATGCTCGTGTGCTGCACTTTTCACCAATATGCATATATTCACTCCCAACGACCAAGCGCTGGTGCCAACTCCCACGCATTCAGGCGTAGCGCTACGTATGCGAAGTCTTTGTGTCATAATGAAGATAACGCGGAACACGTTCATATATATATATATATGCATATATTCACAAGTGTTGGCGTAAAAGCATGTTGGTTCTCGCTTCTACAAGGGCAGCGCCCATGGACGAGCTCCTTAACATGAACTCGCATCGAGGGCGTCGTCCTGCAGAGGGTAGTACCTTGTTGCCAGAGACGCAAGCCGGCGACGGGCTTCTCGAGGCGGGACGCGCATGACCAACAGGCCCATCGAGTCGCTCGGGCGACGCACGCGGCCCCGACAAGCAATGAGTGGCTCCATGGGTCATTTCTTATTGCCCTTTGGAGGCGGGCGGTTTGGCGTTCTGAAATAGTGTGGACTTTTCTTTGTAAATGGTGTGCTCGACCAATCGGGCTGCAATCCTGGACATATTAAAGCGAATCAAACGACGTTCTCGTCGATAGGATTTCATCCAATGGCATGCGCGCCGTCATCATCGAACGAAGCGGCTCGAGGACAAGGCCACACGATGCGGCGGGACCGGCAACGCGAGGTGCAGAAGCGCGTGCGCTCATCGCCGACGGTGGCGCGCCGCATGCGATGGGCTCGCGGCGGATGCGTAGCAGCTCGACTGGATCCAGAACTTGGTGCTTGCGTGCAACGAGCCTCGCGTTCTGCATGGCCTTCGCGGGCCACGACGCCGAGTTCTCGCAGGCAGGATGGTGGTACGACGTAAAGCCCGCCCATTCCCGTTGCTAGATGCACTGACGGCGAGCATGTCATTGTCCACGTCATCACTTGCTCCTCGCTCGACATTGCCGCCACGTGCTTGTAGATGGGCGAGTGCGTGGCAAGGATTACATCTGTGGCGAATGGATGATGTGTTTATACGCGTATGTCTCCACAGCCGCGGCGCGGATGTGCGTACGCCAAGGTATACATGCGCCGAAGATTGGCGCGTGAGCCTACGATCGCGTCGCTACCAAGCCCAACGACGTCGAGAGCGAGACGAAGCCACCGCACGCGTACCGTGCTGTAGGATTGTGTTCTGAGATATACGAAACAACAAAAGCCAAAAACGCTGTTGCATATCATTAAACCTAAAGGCGTCTCGGTTCGCACAAGACTAGACACAACTTGAAGCGTTCATGTTGCGTTGGCTGCTGGAACGAGTGGGTCAAGCTGATGTGTCTTACGTTTGGTGCGAGGGAGAGCGAAGGATAATTCCTTCCGATTCAACGTGCGGTGGGCCCGGAATCTGCGTCGGTTTGACGTCGAGGGTCGTGCGTCGAAGGTCGGCAAGGGGTCCAAACCCAGCTACAAACCCAATGCATGAGAAGGATACGACGTAGTGAGGAATCGAAACCTCGAAAGTCTGGAAGTTCGCAAAGAACACCGCGGGATGTGATCACGTCGTCGTCGCAAAAGTTGCGCTGGCGACGCAGGAGCACGCCGAGCGTCTCGGGGTTGTTCATGTCGATCACATGACCTTGGGTCGGGAACCACGCCGACTGCCCGGCAGAGGTTGTCGTGGATGCACCGGTCTTGCCTTGCGTTGGCTGGGCTTCGGGCAAAGGCTTCTTGCGCTCGTCGACGACTTGCGTCGCCGCCTTCACGGCCTGTTTCTTTCCGCTTCTGGGCTTCTTCAGCGTCGCAGCATCTTGAGCGATGCGCTCGTGGATAAAGTCATCCTCGAGCGCGGCCGTGACCTGCAGTAGTATTTGCATATTCAATGAACATGCAACATGCACCCAAGCAGACGTACCTTCTTGATGCACTTGCGGATGCGCTTGAGCTTGGCAAGCTTCGCGCCGTCGTGGTCGATGCCCAGCTTTATGCATGCATCGCGCAAAGCCCGGTCACTCAAGACCAGGCCGTTGGGCTTGCGCAAGCGGGCAAGGAGCGCCTTGAGCTCCGCTGCCTACCGTACACGTTGCTGGCACGGCGTGGTTGCAGCATGGACGCCAACCTGGCAAGTCGTAGCCGCTTCAGCAGCCGCTGGCACCGCTTGCGCCTATATACGTGTACGAAGGATCGTCGTCGGTTTGACTTCCTCTGGTCGTACCGCCGCCGGGGCAGGTGTCGAGGACTTGTTAGTCTTGACCGTCTTGGCCTTCTTGGCCCTCGGCTCAGTCGATGCGTCTTGCGCTGCTCCACGAGCTGGGCGCTTCGTCTTCTACGCGCGTAGCTTCGTGACGCTACGACCATGTGCATGCGTCCGCACCGTGGCGTCCTTGGCCATGCTGGTCGATGCTGCTGCGGCTGTGGCGCTCCTGGGATCTCAACTTTAAGATTGGAAATGGGGCCAATCAGCGAGTAGAAATGTGTTCGATTTTAGCCAATCAGG